ACCAACACCAGCAGATGACATGGCTCCTCAAATCAACACAGACTGCGGAAACTTCACACTGGACTTCAAACATCTTGCAGTGTGTGCCCCTCCATTCTTCCTCCAGACTCTGGGTCCTTGGTTTCCAAATGAGATGCTAAAGTTGCTCTCATCAGAAAAGAGGACTTTGGACCACTGAGCAACAGACCAGTTCTGTTTTTCTTTAGCCCAGGTAAGACGCTTCTGACGTTGTTTATTGTTCAGGAGCGACTTGACAAGAGGAATACGACATTTGAAGCCCATGTCCAGGATCTCTCTGTGCTCTTGATGCATTGACTCCAGCCTCAGTCCACTCCTTGTGAAAGTCCCCAACACTTTTGAATGGCCTTTTCCTGACCATCTTCTCCAGGCTGCAGTCATCCCTGCTGCTTGTGCACCTTTTTCTTCCACACTTTTCCCTTCCACATAACTTTCTATTAATGTGCTTTGATACAGCACTTGAAGTTGGACATCCAACTTCTTTTGCAATTACCTTTTGCGGCTTTCCCTCCTTATGGAGGGTGTCAGTGATGGTTTTCTGCACAACTGTCAGGTCAGCAGTCTTTCCCATGATTGTGATTCCTACTGAACCAGACTGAGAGACCATTTAAAGGCTCAGGAACCCTTTGCAGGTGTTATGGTTTAATTAGCTGATTAGAGTGGGACACTTTGAGCCCAGAATATTGAACCTTTTCACAATATTCTAATTTTCTGAGATTGTGGATTTGGGGTTTTCATGAGCTGTAAGCCATAATCATCTCAATTATGACATATCACGGCTTGATCTATTTTGCTTTGCATGTAATGAGTCTATCTCATATATTAGGTTCACCTTTTAAGTTGCATTACTGAAATAAATGAACTTTTGTACGATATTCTATTTTTTTGAGTTTCACCTGTATATATAGAGAGAATACACACACACACACACACACACACACACACATTCTGAAAGCCATCCAAAACTTTCATTTATGTAATATTGTCCAGAAAAATTGTATATGCAGTAAGATCCAAATAGATTATAAATAATGTGATCACTATGATGTAGAAACACTGCATGCCCAAAGAGCTGATTAATTTTATACTAGCCCCCGCCTTTGTACATAGTTACAGTATGATTTTGAAATGCCTTTCTTTTATTGTAAATATCAATTCTTAGAAGCTAGCTGATGAAAGTTTAAATCAATAGAAAGTTTAAGGGTAGTTTAAATCCCTAATTTTCTAATATATTAAGGAAATAATTCTAAGGGGTTCATTAGCAGTATGGTGGTTAATTAACTAATTAGTCTGCCATCTTAATCATTTGAATAATAAAGTTAAATTTTTGTATTTCTTGTAATGTCTTTTTGTGGCCTGGCACTGACAAGGGAAAAGACCTTGCTATTATTTTCTAATGTTGAGAAAAATTCTTATAAACACAAACTGTAATTTCTCTGTAAAGTTTAATTCCTAAAATAAAATAAGATATTTTTTAAAGAAATGTATCATTCAGAATCCTGCATAAAATTCAGGGATACTCAGAATGGTCATTTCAGACACCACCTAATTGAATTTTCTAGCAGTAATTATTCAGTTCCAATATATTACCAAATTATGAGAATCTAGAAAATTGTTTCTCTTCCAATTTCTGCAGGGTTGATTTGCTATCATCCAACACTTGGACAAATTATGCTTGACTTCTTTTCCTGTCCTCGGAAGCCATCACAGTAAGATCCCAATTGAAAAGCAAGAGCCAAAATTTGGCTAATTGGAACATAAAAATAAACTGTCACTGTGAAATCAAGGAAGAGAAGCAGAGAAGTCTGAATTGAATTACTGGTTTTTGAAAACCTGTCAGGTCTTTGAAAAGCAGTTTGCTTTTCAAAAGGGAAGTGTCTGAGGTGACTCTTCTGTGTGCCTTTATTGTCCAGGCATAACTTTGAAAGGTACTATTAAGCAAGTCTCTTTTTTAATTTTAGAAGGTGAGGAAATTGCTATCTTCTTCCTCAGAAGGATTAACATAAACCTTAAACAGAACTTAACATCAGCATTATAAATAAAAGCAGTCAATGCTTAATGCAACTGGTGAGAAAATTTATTCCAGGACTCATGAATGGTTGATTTTCTGAATGAAACTAGTATGACCAAGCCATTGAATATTCTTTAAATTAGTCCAGGTCTCTTCATTTTTCCCCATCATAATATATAAAGCAAATGTAGCATTGTAGAAACAGTGTGATGTGATACTAAGGAATAATGTTACATCAAAGTAGATTCCCAGTAATAACAGGGCATTTATAGTAATGCTAATAAGATGTGAACAAAGCAGAGGGAGAATTTTCATTCTACAATAAAACCTCAATAACTTAGTAATACATAACTATGTATTACTGATAAATCCTTTGGGTTTCTCATACATTAAAACCAAATGTCCGGCTGAGCATAATTTATGCTTTTTTATTCAAAAGCTACAGGCACCAATACTAACCAAAGAGTGCTAGTGGTATTTGAAAGCTGGGTCTGCTATTTAATTCTAGTCATACCAATTATGGAGAAAAACAATTTAGTTTTGGAAGCTGGAACTGCTTCAACATTTTACATGCTATTGTTTTAAATGGTGTTAAAGCTCTTAATGGCACTAGGCTCAAATATCTGAAAGTCTGCTTATTTTCCATAATAAATTGTCCAAGCATTAATACTGAATGCCTATACCTGTAGGGTTAGATTGGCATTCAATAGGAATTTTTAAAAGTGATGTGCATTTGTGGCTTCTCTGCAGAGGTACCAGGATTATCATAATGAACAGTAACTGAATTTCCTTTCTGAAAAATTGTGCACTTTTCTAGTCACTATTTTAAAATTATTTTAACAATCTGCTTTTCAGGTATTATTATTTATTTTACTACATAAACAATAAAAAGCACATACATTGAGCTGATTGACAATTTATTCTAAACCAAATGAAGGATTACAGAGGGGGGAGCGAGACTCATTCTTGTAATAATATAAATAAGTCTGAATAATGGATAACCCATTGAGCCAAATGCAGATGATTATTAGATCCTTATGTTATTATGCCAAATGCTTGATAGCCTCCATTTTTACAATGGAGGTGAAATATATAAAAAAGGTTGTACTGAAGTACTTGAGGAGAACCATAATCCATGATCAGAAACCAGTATTTAATATAAGATGGTGAGGAGGTTATAAGATGTGCAAGCTTATATGTTAAGATAAACTAGCAATGAGATATATTTCTACAAATAGATCTTATTGGACTTCCCAGGATCATTGCTGTGGTTTCTTGGAATTACATTGGAGTGGGATTCTAGCAGTTCGCACCTATTCGCTAGAACCGGTTGTTAACATTCTAAGCAGTTCAGAGAACTGGTTGTTAGAAGAAATTACTGGCCTAATCCTGTAAAGAAGGCAGGAAGGAAACATTCTGGTGTTGCTTACAGAAACTGCCTCTCTGTTAACTCTTATTACATTCTTGGCAGGACTAGACTTCCTGTCTCAGGAACTTCTCTGGAGTTTTTCCCCCTCCTTTGCTGGTACTTTGCTTGTGTGAGTGACCATTTAAAATTACAATGGCACTGAAAAAAGTGACTTATGACCATTTTTCACACTTACGACTGTTGCAGCATCCCCACAGTCATGAGAGGCCAGAAGAGGAGATACGTGCCTCGATGTGAGTGATATTGAGTTGGCCACACCCAGCAAATAACATGACCACCAAGCCACGCCCACCACCTAAGCCATGCCCACAGAACCAGTTGTTAAAAAAATTGAATCCCACCCCTGAATTACTTGTAGAGCAGCAGGACAGCAAAGTTGAAGAGATAATGCAAGAATTATTAAGTAAATGTCAACTTAATCCTGGAAGGGAAAAAGGGAGTTTAAAAGAAACGTAACTTTTGTTTTTATTCTATTTTGTATAAAAGATGGCAGTGGGAAACATTTATCCAAGCAGATGCAGGAGGTCAAGATTTTCTTGAAAACACTTAAATAAAATAAAATAATGAAAAATTGTTTTTAGTGTAAGCTTTATTTGAATCAATTAAACATAATAAATATGCATGCATTTTTAAATACCTTGTAAAGAGCTAAAATTTAACTGTTCATTGAAGCCAACCAAATTTTGCTTACTCACAATTCCCTGTAATTCAGTGTTTCAGTTTTGGTCCTTTTCCCTTTGTATAGAAGAATGTTAAAGAAGTTCTTCCAGGCATACAAAAAGGGAGAGAGTGACTGATAATAATACTGATACATTCTGGATTCGGAAGGACAGATTCAACTCTTTTGAAACAAATTTAGATACAACCTGTAATAGGGAGCAGTTGAGTTTTTAAATTATAAGCCAGCCTTACTTGTGTTCTTCTTTTTCTCCTCCTCATCTTCCTCCTCCTTAATATCTGAAATTGTTTCAGCAGTTTTTATAACTTCCATTATTATTGGATTATTACAGCAATCTTTTTGCTGATGCTTACTATTTTATGCCATATAAAATAGTCAGTTCTGATTCCCCCCCCTGTATTCTTTATCCTGTATCCTGTATTTGCAATTGCAACCAGCCTCCTTCCATTGAGGATCTGTATACTGCATGAGCCAAAAAGAGGGCTGTGAAAATATCTACAGATCTCTCACATTCTGGACATAAACTGTTTCAACATCTTCCCTCAATACAATACTATAGAGCATACCAAAACAACTAGACACACTGACAATTTTCCCTATGCCATCACTCTGCTAAACTACTAATTCCCACATTGTCAAACCTATTCTATTCTATTCTATTCTATTCTATTCTATTCTATTCTATTCTATTCTATTCTATTCTATTCTATTCTATTCTATTCTATTCTATTCTA